ATCAGTAAATGAACGCTAGCCATCTGATGCTAGAAGTACTGTGATTTTGCAGATTGTGGAAAAGAAAGATGCTGATTGGTGGGCGGGGCATAAAGTTGACACGCCGAACGTTCGCGGTCTCTTCCCAGCGAATTACGTGCAGATGAGGTAGATCATGCAGCTCATCTGTTCTCAATTCAGATTTTTTTCTTTTAAAAATTCAATCACGCATACTCGGATTCATCAAATACGGTCCCGGTGGGCGGTGCTTTGGTGTGACCACCGGATGGCCTTCACATTCTGGCTTCCTATGCCGTTAGGTCAAGTTGACTAAAGAGATCTAAGTACTTGTATCAATATTATCTCATCACTTTATCGCGTTCATCCGTGCATTGCCGCCATATGTGGGTTTGTCCGGTAGCGGAAACGCTGTATTGCAATAACAGTGTGCTGTCCTCGCTTTTCGGTACCCTACACGGTGCTATACACCTACGTGCTGGCTCTTTGCCAACTTGTAGTTCTTCTCAGTGGCGCCACTATAGGTAGACCTCTACGCTCTCTATACCCTTCGCTTCTTTTGGCCGGTTTTTCCTCCTTTGACGGTCCTATGCTGTGAAGAGCTCGAAAATTAGCCTGCAATAAACTTGACGCTCGCTTTTCGATTGGATTTGGAGCTAAGAACGCTGTTGGGATAGTGTGGTGTTTCACCGGCCAGTTACTCTGTTGCCTTCACAATACTTCGCTCTTTTCCCTTCTGTTTTACCCCTATTTTATTATTATTATTTATATATTCTATGTGCCATAAAGGTTGTTAATTTGAGCCATTATGGAGTTGAATTTGAACGTCTTTTAGTTTCATTTTTTCTGCATTATTGCGTTGGTTTTTATTTTATTTACTTTTTTATCATTTGAGAATGTTCTAAATCTGAGTCACCATGATATATACCTTGAACTCGGCTTGAGTTAGAGGGGAGCAGGGTTGCTGAATCGAAGGAATTTTCAAGGGGCGGACGAAGGGAGGGTAGTAATCGAACGGCTGGGCGAAAATATTCTCACAAATTACCGTATTCGATCTACTAATTACGGGTATATGGATGTATTCACTTGTATGCAATTTTTGAATGAACAATATCTTTCGCTCGATCTGATTTGTTTCGATGAGAATCTAATTGTTTTAAGAAATTTGGTGAAGAGCTCATAGTTCGAGAACTGCTGGGTTGTTACTCTACTGGTTGGGATATGCGCAAAGCCCAATCCTAGATAAGCCAGGGTGTAGAGAGAGGGGAAAGGGTCAACGAATTGCTGACGCCTAGGGTACCGATGAGTCCCTTGCAGCAGCCATCAGCCATCAGCAATTTCCGGCGCTTCTTCCATGATAAGCCCTACTCCATTTGTGAACCCTTGTTGGTTCACAGTCGGGTTCTACAGCTTAGCCAGTGAAGCAGCTGACAGTTATAAACCATCCGCCGTTATGGCTATAACCTCATCACTCAAACCCTCAGAACCACAATGCAAAAATTTCGTCATCACGGGGGATTGATCCTCGGACCAATTTCCTCTCCTTTTTTTGGCCTTCTCGGAGCCGTTCAGCGAAAATGGACCTTGGTTCTGTAGTCCACGCATGAGTTCCTATAACTCGCAAAAACCGTACCATGCCCTAAACGACCTCCCTTGTCAGCCGCTACCACTTGCGCACCCATAAGAGTTGTTTGGATTAGTCAGCCCAACTCCAGCCAAGCTCAGCCGCCGAAAAACCGTGAATACGACCCCTGTTCGTACACCACCCACACACACGCGTTTTTCGAGTACTTTGTAGATAAGATGTTTAACAGTTTGTATTTCTGAAAAGGCCATGTGACTTGAACTGTGTTATAATGCCGATGTTACTTATGCATTACTAGTCATAGAATAGTAGTAGCGTTGTGCTAATCGATCAATACCAACATAAATAGTATTGACATAATTAGGTGCATAATTGTTGAGTTTTCAAAGGATAATAATTTATTCACGCCAAATAATGTAATTATACGTCCTCATGTCACTTTGCATAGGTTTCAAGTATTAATATATTAGTTTGTTAGTTTGTTTTTGTGTTTGAGCAGTTTTAGATGAGATTCAAATAAAGGTGTTCTGTATTGACTTTTTTTGAATCGTTGATTGTAATGTTAGTAGATTAGACAGTGTGTTGTGGTGTGGTTTGCTTGGTCCATGGTGTTGGTTTGCCTGCATGTTTTCCCCTTTTATTTTATCCTTTGGGTCCTGCAACGGTTATACCGTAATCGTCGTGGGTTTTACGGTAGCTTGGAATTTTGTGGTGATCGTCCTGTATATGGTAAGTGAGTTACCTGCCGGGTTTTTTTCCAGCTGAGCTTTCCAGATGTGTTCGTCGTGATAGCCGCAGTAATCGGTGGGCTTTGTCGTAAGAGTAGCACTGCGAATGAGCTCGTGCTAAACTCTCAAAATATCGCCATTTTTATGGCTTAAAAATTTGATCATGGGGCCTCAGCTGCCACTGGTTCGGATGCTTGAGTTTTGCATTTGTTTAGAAACGGAATGGGTCCCATCAATGGTTGCGCGCGGTCGCGATAACGTGCCATCGCAGAGGGTTTGCGTTAAAGCAACAGTCCCAGCAGGGTGGGCGTGGTCGGAAACGACTGCAATCCCCTCGGCCGATTCCGACCACGCCCACTTCAGCTCCCTCCCTAGCGGCTTTCCAAGGTGAGTTTTTGTTCAGTCACACTTCTTACGTTCTTGACTAGGGGCTGAACAGCTCCGAAGTGGGAATCGGCCGAGGGGATTGCAGACCACGCCCACCCTGCTGGGACTGTTGCTTTAAGCACCAATTCACCAATTGGTTTTCATCGTCGACGCGACCGCAACC